GGACGCCGACACAGGCCCTCGTCGGGCACTTTCCGGTGGCTGCTGGGTCGGGCCAGGGGCGCTCCTGGGGCCGCCGACGTGCCTCCGCGGGGACGGGGCCTTCTGCGGTTGTGCGAGGTCGTCCTTCGGCCGCCTCCGCCGCGTCGTGCCACCCGGGCATGCCACTGTCGGCTGCTTGCTTGGGACCCGTCTGCGTTGGTGTGCGGTTCTCGCATCATCAGTAAGTTTTCCTGTCTTCAGTAGCGAGTCTGGGAGAGAATGAGGATACACTTCACAGAGCCTCTTTCTCTCCCAGAATGAGGATACGCTTCCCAGATAACCTGTCCCACCACGCTCAGCGCCTCGGCCCCCTCCGTGCACCTGCAGTAATTTGCTTCTGTCTGTGAAACAGAACTCCGCGTGGAACTAATGAGAAAGGAGTTGCTCTGATTTGCACAGCCCTTGAGCTCAAGCCGTCTGTGCAGAATTCTTGGGCGACTCACACACAGCCGTGGATGCGTCCTGTGCATCCATGTGACACATAGAGAGACCGAGTCGGTCTGAGTGATTAAGTGCTCCCGCTTCAACTAAGTACTGTGTAGTTTGGATCAAGATAGGAGCCAGGTTGTCTGCCGGACGGCGTGCTTTCCACACGACGGCCAGATCAGGAATTCGTGTTAACAGTAAGTGCTTAAGACTTGACCTGCTCTGTTCCTCTTTTCCTTCAACAGGTGCATTGCCCAAGTGTTTCATTCCGTACACGGTTCATCTGCATTTGCAGTTTTTGCCCTTTAAGGGGTTTCCTGTTTGTTTCCTGCTCTAGATATTACCTGTGCTATTTGTTTTTCCTGTTGATTCAGGCCTTTCATTCTCCAGGGCCGCGATGAGTTCTGGGTATTTGATAGGTTGAACATGTTGTTTTGGCTCAGCTGGAGAATTTTCCTCTCTTCCTGGAGATTCCCCAGACTCACACAGTAGACACTCCTAGAGGAAAAAGCCGTTTGTTGGGTAATGTTTTTGCTCTGACTTATGATGTGGTGTGTATCCTTTAATTATCTAGTACATTAGGCATTTGGTTGTTTCTTTTTTCTTTGTAAGAGGTGTTTCTTAAAATGAAAAATTCCTTAGTGGGCAAGTACGGGGGAGATAAGGGTGCATTCGTCTGCAGTTCTCAAATTATCAATACATTTTCATATCTTTAGTAGTGAGTCTGGGAGAGAATGAGGATAAACTTCACAGATAGTCCTCAAGTCTAATTTTTCTTCTCACACTTAAGTTTTCTGATAGTTAAAAATTTTACCAATATGAAAACCTGTCCCCCCCAAAAGAACAGTAAAACTGTCTGGCTCTTCTACTGTTTGTCTCCTTCATTTTGTTGTCTATCCTCTAGAAATTCAAGCAGGCTGATAAAACACAGAAAAATGAAAATGGTAAGGGTGACACTTCTTTCTTCTCCTCAAAATACATAATCAACCCACAAACGTCTTTCTAAGTATTCAACAATTTAACAAATAATGAGCTAGAGAAAATAAAATAACATTAAGAAAATCGTAGAAAGAGAAAGTATATTTACTATTTGTTAAGTGGAAATGGAACATCTTAAAGTTCTTCATTCTCATTACCTTCATGTTGAGTTGGCTGCGGAAGAGGAGAAGGAAGAAGGGGTGGTCTTGCTTTCTCACGGGGGTGGCTGAAGCAGAAGAAAGTCCTCCTATAAGTGTACTTGTGCAGGTCATACCTGTGCTGTTCAAGGTCCACTGTTAATTTAGTGGGTTTTTTGTGTTTTTTTTAATGGTGTTTTTTTTTTTGTAGTTGGGGTCTCACTCTGTTGCCCAGGCTGGAGTTCAGTCAGTGGTACTGTCATGGCTCACTGAGGCTTTATCCTCCTGGGCTCAGGTGATTCTTCCACCTCAGCCTCCCGAGGAGCTTACACTACAGATACACACTCCATGCCTGGCAAATTTTTTGATATTTTGTAGAGACGGGGTCTCGCGATATATTGCCCATGCTGGTCTTGAAGTCCTGGGCTTCAGCAGTCCTTCTGCCTTGGTCTTTCAAAGTGCTGGGATTATGGGCCTCAGTGGGTCTGATTTAATATAGTCACAGGTTTGTGCAACTTTTATCATTGTCTGATTTTAGAACATTTTCATCACTTCAAAAAGAAAGCCCGTACCCAAGAAGCAGTCACTCTCCATTCAGTGCCCACCTCTCACCATCAGCTCCTCAAACTTTAATATACTTTCTGTCTCTGTGTATTTGCCTATCCTGGGAAATTTCATATCAGTGAAATTAAGTGATATATGGTCTTTGGCAACTGGCTTTTGCTTAGTGTAATGTTTTATGTGTTATGTCATATATCATTACTTCATATTTTTTTTGTTTTTTTGAGTCAAGGGTCTTACTCTGTTGCCCACGTTGGATCACAGCTCACCTGCAGCTTCGACCTTCTGACCTCAGGTGAACCCTCCAGCCTCCCAAGTAGCTGGGACTACAGGCTTGTATCATTACACCAGCTAATTTTTACACATTTTTTGTGAGATGAGGTCTCACCATATTGCATAGGCTGGTTGCTAACTCCTGGGCTCAAGCAGTTCTGATGGCCTGGCCTCCCAGAGTGCTGGGATTACAGGTGTGAGCCACCACACCTGGCCCTTCATTTTTTTATTGCTGAGTAATATTTCACTGTACTGGTGAATATTGAGTACCACATTTTGTCCATTCATTTGATGGACATTTGGAATGTTTCCAGTTTTTTGGGGGTTTGTTTTTGGCTCTTGTGATTAAAAACATTTCTGAACAAGTGTTTGAGTGGACATGTTTTTATTCCTTTTGGGTGTATACCTAGGAGTAGAATTACTTGGTTGTATAGAAACTATGTTTACCTTTTGAGGACCTGCCAGACTATCTTCCAAAGTGGTTGCCCCATTTTACACTCCCAGTAGCAGTGTATGAGGGCTCCAGTTTCACCATATCTTCACCAAAACTTGTTTTTGTCTTTTTGATTACAGCCTTCCTAGTGGGTGTAAAGTGATACCTCGTTGTTTTGATTTGCATTTCTCTTGTGATTAACAGTGTTGAGCATGTTTTCATTGCTTCTTGGCATTTGTATATCATATTTGTATAAATAAATGACTATTCTGGTCCTTTGCCTTTTTTTTTTTTTTTTTTTGAGTTGGAGTCTTACTCTGTCGCAGTGGATACTCTCATGGCCACCATAGCCTCAACTTGAGCCCTACTGGGCTCAGGCGATCCTTCTGCCTCAGCCTGCCAAGTAGCTGGAACTACAGGCACGCACTACCATGCCTGGCTTATTTTTTTATTTATTGTAGAGTCGAGGTCTCACCAAGTTGCTCAGGCTGGTCTCAAACCCCTGAGTTTAGGTAATCCTCTTGCCTCAACCTCCCAAAGTGCTGGGATTACAGGCTTGACCCACCATGCCTGGCCTGTCCAATTTTTTTTTTTTTCTTTTTTTAAGAGACAGGGTTTTGTTTTTTGTCCAGACTGGAGTGCTGCAGGTTTGCCCATTTTAAAATTGGATTGTCATTTGATTATTGAGTTGTAAGAGTTCTTTATGTTCTGAATACTAGACCCTTATCAGGTATGCAAATATTGGCTTCCATTCTGGGGATTTTTTTCACTCTTGGTAATGGCCTTTGAAGTATAAAAGCTTTTAATTTTTTTTTTTTTTTTTTGAGTTGGAGTCTCACTCTGTTGCTCAGACTGGAGTGCAGTGGCCGCTCCCGGCCACCGCAGCCTCGACCTGCTGGGCTCCGGCGATCCTTCTGCCTCAGCCTTCCGAGTAGCTGGAATTACAGGTGTGCACTACCATGCCCGGCTGATTTTTTGATTTATTGTAGAGATGAGGACTCGCCTGCCCAGGCGGGTCTTGAACCCGCAGGCTCAGGCAATCCGCTCACCTCAGCTTCCCAAAGGCGCGGGATTATAGGCTGAGCCACTGAGGCCGGCTAAAAGCTTTTAATTTTGATGATGTTTCTAATGTAGTGTTAACTTAAAAAAAAAAAAATAACATCTTAGTTTTTTTTTTTTTTTTTGAGTCAGAGTCTCTGTTGCTCAGGCTGGAGTGCAGTGGCATGCTCATGGCCACCACAGCCTCAACCTGCTGGGCTCAGGTGATCCTTCCTCCTCAACCTTCCAAATAGCAGGAAATACAGGTGCACACCACCATACCTGGCTAATTTTTGTACAGACGAGGTCATGCCAAGTTCCCAGGCTGGTCTCGAACCCCTGAACTCAGGCAGTCCTCCTTTTTTTGTGTGTGTGTTGAAGTCTCACTCTGTCACCCAGACTGGAGTGCAGTGGCCGCCCCTGGCCACTGCACCCTCAACCTGCTGAGCTCTGGCGATCCTTCCGCCTCAGCCTTCCAAGTAGCTGGAACTACAGGCGCGCGCTACCATGCCCGGCTTATTTTGATTTATTGTAGAGACGAGGTCTCACCAAGTTGCCCAGGCAGGTTTCGAACCCGCGGACTCAGGCAATCCACTCACCTCAGCCATCCAAAGGTGCGGGATTACAGGCTGAGCCACCAAGCCCGGCTCAGGCAATCCTCTTACCTCCACCTTCCAAAGTGCTGGAATTTCAGGCGTGAACCACCATGCCCAATTTTTTAACCTTGAAATCTCATAATACATCTTATGAAGAGGTGTTCGATTGATTAAATTTAATAAATATGCTTACTTAACATGCCCTTATGGCTCTTTGAGTGTATTGTTACGGTAGAAATAATTCTTTGTACATCCTTTTAAAAAAATAATCACAGTTTCTTTGTATATCTTTGTACTCCTTATTGACCATCTATGTATTAGGCCCTCTGTTTGGATACTTCATCTGTGTAACATTTCCTCATTTGGCCATGTTAACTATTCCTTGAAGTTGGTGTGTTATGCTCACCTACAATATAAAGAAGCTGAAGCTTGAAAAGGACAAATAACATGCCCAAGATTTTACAGTTAGGAAATGTAGGAAAGGACAGAGCATAGATTTGGGCTGTCATATGTATGGACCGTATTCTTTTTTTTTGAGTTGGAGTCTCACTCTTGTCACCCAGACTGGAGTGCAGTGGCCCACTCGTGGCCACTGGAGCCTCGACCTGCTGGGCTCGATCCTTCCGCCTCAGTCTTCCAAGTAGCTGGAAGTACATGCACGCTCGGCAAGTTTTTGTGATTTATTGTTGAGAAGAAGTCTCACCAGGTTGCCCAGGCTAATCTCGAACCCCCAGGCTCAGGCAGTTCTCTCACCTCGGCCTCCCAAAGTGCTGGTTTACTGGCTGAGCCACTGAGCCCGACCTAGACCATATTCTTAACTGTAAATCCCCTATTACTTCTTTCTTTTTAAATCTCTTTGAGGAGAGGGATGTTTGTTTCATACAGTGGTGTATACACTGGGCATGCAGTGCAAGTCTGAAAACCATGTTTGGTAAAAGGACTTTTTTGCATTAGCAGATAGGAACACCAACAATGTCATAAAATAATGTGACAACCGTAGTTTATTTTTCAGCCAGTACTGTGAACTAAAATTGGCTCTGGAAATTAGAGCCTTTCTTTCTCTTGCATCATCTGTAGGAGATGCTGCAATCCAGTAGACTTGACGTTTAAAGGCAGGCGATGATAAACGCTTCTTGTTTGGAACTGATATTCACCTGAGTTTACAGAGCAGAACTACTGAT